GCTAGACGAAGAACGTCATATAAAATACAAGCTGTACGTGAATTGTTATACAAGTCTTTACAACATATTACAGAACAAAACTGGAAAGATGCAGTGACATGTAATAGAAGAAGAACAAAAAATGTGGGATCTTGATAACATGATTGATGCGACCGTAGAGACACAACCGCTAATTATTAACCCTCAAGACGACTCGGATTCCGAATTGATCCTATTTATTTTGAATTTTACATAATTTTCTAATCGTAATTATATAAGGTAAGTAATTGTAGTTGTAATCGTAAGGTATTAAAGGGGAAAGGCGCAAAATGTCGCCTGTGAAAATGTTCAATGTGTTTTAAATGTATCCATTTTTTTTTTGAAATCCTGAGAAAACTAAAAAGCATTTTTGAAAATTTAAAGGCAGAATAAAATATTTATTAGAATAAATAAAAAGTTTCTTTTGCATGCAATATTTTCAATTAAAAATTATACTATATTTTCTCTTTTATTTTCATCCCTGTTACATAAGATATTAAAATAAACATTATAGAAATTTTCAAGGACTTTCTGCCCTCAGTAATAATGTAATCTTTCATTCTGCGTTTAAATTTTTCAAAAATATTTATTAGTTTTCTCCGGATTCGAAAATAATGGATACATTTAAAACACATTGAAAATTTTGCCGTGACATTTGGCGCCTTTCCCCTTAATTAAATAAATGTATCTTTTAGAAATGGCAAGAAACTTTTTGTTTTTAAATAAAATATATATTTTTGAAGCTCCACAGTGTTTTGATAGGTTTTTACAAATTTATTACCACGCTATTAATTTTTCACTTCTTAACTAGTTCTTCTGGAAAGTCAAAATTAAGCTATTAAGCGGAAGCTGGTAGCTAATTCAAATAAAAATTTTAAAATACCACATGATTTTGCTCGATTTTTTCAAATTTTTCGCATCTCAACTGACCCGTGGTAGCTTAGGTTAAAATAAAAAAGTAATTTTAAAATACCACTGTGTGTTACAAAGCTTTTCCAATTCATTTACCACCTTCACCCTCAATGAGAAGTCAATTATCCTACTAGGTTGAATTTTGAACTGAAAACAAAATTATAAAAGGTATTTTTTAATAATTTTTTTCTATTGTACTTTTATTTCAACCTTTTACTATTTTTGCTCTAATTTTTGGTGGCGTAAAGTCTTACTTTTTCGTCGTGTATAAAAAAAATGCACGTTTTCACATTTCAAGAGTTAAAAATCAACTAAAGACGTGGTCGTGAATAGATTATGGTACACTGGTGTTTACTATTAAAAATTACTCAAAAACTGTTCTACTCAGCATAAAACACACTCAAAAACAGTACAGAGGCGCTATATATGCAATTTATTCACAAGGTTAAATATTAAGTTTTAATAAAACAAAAATACAATTTAAAAAATATATTTATTTAGTTCAAATAAATGTTTCTATCATATACTCTACGACACTGGTCGGTCATCTGTAACAAAAATACCTTCGTAATCGTATTATAAGGTTGACCGCTGTATTGTATTCCTTCAGATACAAGGTGAGTTAATCGAAAACATCTTAAACGGTCAGTTTCAGGTTGGTTTTTACTATTATACAGTGGAACCTCGATTATCCGTCTCTCTATTAACCGTCACCTTCGTTAACCGTCAGGGTCCATACATAAGATATATTGACAACATAGGTAAAAATTTACTCATCAATTCATTTTGTTTGCAAAAAATTCTCCACCAAAGACGATTCTCATTTTGGACAATGCACCTGCCCATCCTAAAGCCGGTATGCTGCGGAGTGACAATAAAAAATCACGTACTCTTTTCTGCCTGCGAATACAACATCATTGATACAGCCAATGGATCATTCGGTCATTAAAACATTCAAATGAAGATACAGAAAAGAATTTATTCAGAACCTAGTTATGAAAGAGGAATATTTTTTGCCAAAATACTGGAAAGCATATAATTTAAAACACGCAGTCGACAATGCTGTGGATGCTTGGGCTGATGTTTCGGAAGTAACGTTGAAAAGAGCGTGGAATAAATTATAGCCTGAATCAACTTAAGATGAAAATACTCCCCTTAAATGAAGATATGGCTGAATCAACTGTTTTGTTTTCGTTGCCTAAAGATGACATAAACGAATGGTTAATTTGTGATAAGGACGCAAACGGCTATCGATTGCTGACAGATGATGAAATCGTTGAAATGGCAACAGAGGCGGACGAAACTGATTCAGAAGCTAACAGAGACTTTGATGGTGGCAATTTTGATGATGCTATTACAACTCACAAAGATTTGCGTAAAGCTAGAGAAGCTGAATCGCACATACAACAATTTATCAAGTGGTATTCTCGGCAAGAAGAAGCAAATAAGGTAAATTTTATGATTTTACGTCGATTAAGAAATTCAGCCGCTGCAAAATGTGAAGTAACAATAAAACAAACAAAGATTTCGGAATAATTTGAATCAGATTAGTTCGACTGTACTAACATAAATCCCTCTTATATTGTCAAATAAAATATACAAATAAAATTTGAGTTATACTATAAATTTTTTTTAATGTTCTGTTAACCGTCTTTTCGATTATCCGTCATACCCGTGGTCCGGTGCCCTGACGGATAATCGAGGTTCCACTGTATTATATACAGAGAGGATAGGTAATAACCTATCCTCTCTGTATTTCAGTTCTCTAATTACGGTTAAACTTGTAGTGAGCTATCGACAAATTGTGAACCGATTATAGGTTAATCTTTAAAAAGGCCATTGACTACTATGTTTTGGTGTAAATTATTGATGTTTCCACACAGCATACAGTATGCATAAGGGCCTTTCAGCTTACAGCTTTGATAAAATATGAATACAGCGCCAATTTTAACGTGGGAATTTTAAAAAAGATAAACAATCAAAGAAGTAACTAAATAAGGCCATATACTGAAAATATTAAAATTATTAAAACATTTTTTTTATTTCGACGTTAACGTGCTCGGCTACTATGGCCACTTACACAGGTACTATAACATGAGTTTTCATTAAACAAACAATAAGTGTTACATTAAGAATATGTTACAATAATACGGAATGATAATAATATGTTACACAATGTCTATTTTAAAATCTAATTATATTTTTTGATATAAGTCTTCATCTCTAAGGAATTGTAGCACAGCTTTTATTTGGTCAGGGTCATTTAGGATATCTCGTACTTCACTTTTGAGTTTGTATTGTAATCTTCTGGCCGACTATTGATGGCATTCAGTGAGGACATGTTTGATTGTCAAATATGATTGGCAGCTTTGACAGGAGGGACGGATGCTAGAGGACATTAGGTAGCCGTGTGTGAGTTTTGAATGTCCTATCCGTAGTCGTCTTATCACAATGAGATCTCGTCTTGACAGGGCTGAATAGTCAAATGTAGGCTGACTGATTATTGACGGTTGTATTTCGTGTAAGATCGAACGGTTAGAGTTCCAATGCTGCTGCCAAAGGAGTCTGGTTCTTCTTTTAGTATATGATTTTAGGTCCTTACAAATTTGAATTTTATCGGTGACTTCAGGTGATGCTGTAGCAAGTTTAGCATAGTGATCTGCAGTTTTATTGCCTTCTATACCAATGTGAGATGGCAGCCAAATTATGGTAACTGTTATGTTTTGGAACAAGATAATTTAGTAAGAGTCTAGGATCTTTTGGACGATTGGATGATCGGTAAATATATTTTTGATAGAATGGATTGATGCTAAAGAGTCTGTGCATATGGCAACCTGCTTATTAGGTGGATATATATGGTTAAAAGCTTGCAATATACTAAATAATTCACCAGTATGAACGTTGCTGACGGATGGTATAAGTGATGACTTAATTAGTGAATGAGAGGTTGTAACAGAGCAGCCTACTCCTGTGTCATTTTTTAAAACATCTGTGTATAATATTAGGTCGTAACTATTTGTATTTATAATGTCTGTAAATGCATTTATAATGATCTCTTTCGGATGTTTATTTTTATCGAATTTGGTGAGCGAGGTAATAAATTTGGGCGTGGAGATGATCCAAGGAGGAGATATAGGGGTATAAAGAGGAAGGGTATGTGTAAGAGAGATATCATTAAGTGTCTGTGCTAAAATTAGTGGAATAGGTTTTATTGGTGGTAAGGAATTAGTATTGTGTAAATTATACGTGGACATTAATAATAAGGGATGCACTGGATTAGAGGGGTTAGCTGATACCAATGCTGCATAAGAGAGTAGCAGTTGTTTTCGTCTTATACTAAGAGGAGGTTCGTTAGCTTCGCAATAAAGATTATCTACAGGACTAGATCGAAAAGCGCTAATACAAAGGCGAATGGCTGTGTTGTGAAAAGGTTAATGTATGTTTTTTAGGCGGATATATATATAATATATATATATATATATATATATATATATATATATATATATATATATATATATATATATATATATGTGACAACCATAATCTAGCTTGGAACGTATTAGTGGTCTGTATATTTTAAGAAGTGAGTTTTCGTCAGATCCCCAATAATGATGTGATAGAGTTTTTATTATGTTAAGTCTTTTGCACGTTTCTCCTTTTATTAAAACATTTAATATTTAAGTATGCACTAAATGCAAAAATTATCTATACTCCAACTCCAGTATTATTTTGTTTTGTAATATACAAAATGCAGAAGAATAATTATCTTATTATCAACGCCAAAAACCGTATTTTTCAGCGCATAAAATCATTTAAATTTTATGTTTAATTGCCATTGATATGCACAATATAAAATCTTTTTTGCGGAAATAATTTTACAATTGAAATGATGCTCTCATCGATTACAAATTAACAACTAAATAATTGGCGCCTACCCACAACCACCTTCTATATCAAAATAAACATCAGTTGGCTAGGTCACGCGTGATAAAATAGTAGTAATATTAAGACTCCTACATTACTTTTTTCCTTTCGTTGATGCCATAAGTATTTGGCGATAGTCCGCAAGAAGAATAGTTGCAACCGCCGACGAAGATTCACCTGGTGTATTTGATCTCCGCGGATGCGTGCGTGCACTAGAGCTAGCGCTTAGGATTTATGCAAGTGGGTATGTTGTGCGGAAAGTGCGAATTCATTTAAATTTGTTGCAATGGAATATATTTTTAAGTAAGTTTTTGGATGTTTGCTTTTTATTTTTATTATTTAAAAATAAACCAGGTATATATTTAAATAATTTTTTTTCATAGCTAATGTTAAAGTGTTGCTATAACAATTGTTTTGAGTACATAAAATATCACTTTAACCGCAAGGGTGGATAAAGTGACACTTTAATAGCAACAGTAGATAAAATGTTTTAACTTTTTTTTATTCAATAAAATTTACAAATTCAAACACATTAAGGATTTAAAAACAACTGAAATTTTACAAATTACATTTTTAGAAATATCTATTTTTGCTATTAAACTGGGAATAAGCCACAATTAAAGAGAAACATACGTTTGTTGACGTTTCAATTTCCACTTCGGAAATTGTTCTCAAAATACAAACAGTAAATTAAACAAATTTTGTTTTTTGTTACATAGTGAAAAATTCTTCTAATAATTTAATTTTATCTGACTCATTTATATTGACAATTCAGACATACATAATGCATTTTAAAGTAGACGACTTTAAAATGATATTGCCAATATATCAAGATAGTTCATTCGATTACATGAAATCAACTTTAACTTGAGAATATCCGTCAGAAAAAAATCATAGCATCTAATTCGTCTTTAAAAAGACAAACACATGACATGATGACAGTAAAATTCTCCTGTTAGTAATTTCATAGTAAATTATGAGGGAAAAACCAGGAAAAAAACCTCATAATACTATCCCGACATTGTAAGTATTTGTTCGTGAATTTAGTTTACCTTCAACAAACATCAAAATTCTGATTTTATATGTTACGTTATTTAAAAAAACATAAATGATGTATACTCTATATGTTACTGACTTACTAATACTGGTATTTTCTTATTAATAACTTCCTCTTTCAATATTGGTAACCAGATCCTACTACATTCTGTCGAGGAATTTGCGACACAATTGGCCTCATTTAGCATAATTAGAGCCGCTTCTTTGATTTTTCTTTTTTTACCATCCGTTTCTTTTAGTACTACATTTGAATTATTCCATTGAACCCTATGTTCATTATCCCATGCGTGTTTACAGATTTGAGATCTATCAAATACTCTATTTTTAATATAAGATTGATGTTCACTTATTCTAACATTTAATGGCCTTGATGATTCACCTAAATAAAACTGATCGCATTCACAAGGTATTTTATAAATGCAATTCTTTGTCCTTTCTTGTTCATTGTTAGGTTTGGTTTTGGACAAAATAGATCTCAACGTGTTTGTTGTTTTGAATGTTGTTAAGATGTTGAATTTATTTCCTATCCTTTTAAGTTTTTCTGATAATCCTTTTATGTACGGTATTGTTATTTTCCTCATATTATTCCTTGTGTATGCTGTAGGATCTCGTTCTAAGTTGTTCTGTTCTATTCGATCGATTGTTGAAAATTCCTTATTTATAAACGATAAAGGATAGTCATTTTTTAATAAAAAAGATGTTAACAGATGTTTCTCCTCCAAGAATGAATTTTCGTTAGAACAAGTAATTTTGGCTCTATCGTATAAGGATTTAATTATTCCCTTTTTTACATTAATATTGTGATTTGATTTGAAATTTAAATATCTATTGGTGTGTGTTGGTTTTCTATACACCTGAGTCTCATATCCAGTATCGTTCTTAGAGATTAAAACATCCAGGAAAGGTAGCGTGTTATTATATTCCTTTTCCATGGTAAATGTTATTGTCTCTTCTTTATCGTTTATATTGTTTAGGAATGTGTCCAACAACTCTGATCCATGAGGCCATATTGAGAATACATCATCTACATACCTCCATCATACTGTGGGTTTGAAATTTTGTTTAGAAATGATATTTGTTTCAAAATCTTCCATTTTTTGTTATGCCAATATTTGTGGCTTAACTAAAGTCTAAGATATTCAAGTTACGACTATTTTCTAAATAGCTGAAGTTTTTTTGTATAGCTCTAACTACAAAATTATCTGTACAAATTTGTCTGAATAGTGTAAGGGGTGGCCATAGCCTGCCTCAAGCAATTATTCTTCTTTTGGGTTTCAATTTTATTAAGATGTCGTCTGTTGACGCAGAACGATATAAGTGATAATTATAGCCGAAAATTGGTGGAATCATTGAACGACAGATAAACAATGCAATATTCTGGTCAGCTTCCCAACTGGTTTTAGATAATGCTCTAACAATATTCATGGAGTTTTCCGATTTTTTTTTATAATAGAATGAATTTGATCCTTTAATAAGAGTTTACGATCCAAATATTTGTCTAGATATTTTACACAATTTTTGATTGGAAATTCTATTTTGCCCAATTTGAGTTACCTTAAGTATTGAGGAGTTTGGCGTTTTTGGAAAAAAAAAACAAATTTCAGTCTTTTAGGTGATATTGATAAGCCTAGAAAATGGAATTTTTTATACAATCTAGCGTAAATTCGAGTTGACGCCTACAAATGTCTAGGGTAGCATGGGAGGTATACAACACATCATCTGCAAACTGTAATATATTAAAGTGTGGAGGTACTATCTGTTCTAGATCTATATTGTACAATGAAACGAGAAGTAGGCTTAAAATACTACCCTGTGGTATGCCTATATTCGTTAGCCTTGCCGCTAAAAGTTTCTTATTTATTTTTAAGTAAGTCCATCTATCCTTGTCAAATTTCATTATATCCTAAGGATATCATGAAATTTGAAATTTTAACTGACATTCGAAGATACAACAATTTCATATGTAGATCTAATGATGTATGATCTAATAACATCTTTATCCACGTCTGTTTTGCATTGCAATTTTTAGAAGGCTCAGAATAAAGCAGAAATCTGAATTGGTTTCGAAAATAGTTTTCGGATTTATTATCAGATGTCGCTATTTGCGTCCATACGAAGCCATGTTAGAGTTGCTTCTTAAGACAGAAAAGATTTATTTTCACGTCCAGAATGCCTATGAATAGCTGTTCTGATGAGCCCTATTAGGGCGAAATACGTATAAGCAGATACATAGACGCTTTGTACGTAAAATCAAATCTTGACTGTCTTTTTCAAATATAAATTTATGTTATCAAATGCAGAGGTTACATCCATAAATGCGGCAGCTGTTAATTCTTGATTTGTGAAATTGACCTGAACAAAGGACACTAGTGAAGTGAGAATATCTTGTATAGACATGGATTTTCGGAAGCCGTATTGAGATTTGGGAAGGATATCTTCGGATCCAAGCCAGTATTCAAGCCGATTTTGAATTAATCTCTCTAGAGTTTTTAGTATACAAGAACTTAAAGATATAGGTCTGTAAGACTCAACGTTGTTATCTCGCTTTCCTGTCTTCTTTATAGGCAATACAATATAGTCCTTCCATGTTTTGGGAATTAAATTCTCATTTTGCCATATATTGTTAAACATTTGTATTTTCTTTACAATTGCATCATAGTTTCTCACCTATTAAACCTTCCTAGAACTTCAAATAATCATTTTAAAACTAAAATAAGCCAAAATAATTCAGTCGTTCTCGATTTATTATAAAATAAGTTACAAAAACATAAAATGACGTTAATTAAACGTTATAAACATCATAAATCATTAAAAATTATAAAATATCATTAAATGATCTTTAACAAACGGATCAAATAAACTAAAACTGTAGAGGTGATGTCGTATAAAACTTTTTGAATTAACAATTAAAAAAACATTGGTTATTCATCTAGATAAAAAATATCCTATCTCCTAAGTTGGACCAATAAACACAGTTTCACAAAATTTTATTGCAATTGGTTCAGTGGTTTTTGAATATGAGCTTGGACAAACATCGTGACACAAGATTTTATATATATATATATATATATATAATATATATAATATATATATATATATAAAGATAATCTAACTTATAGTTTTATAATTCATTACAATATATTTATTAGATTCGAGTTCCTTAGAAATTTAGTTCTGTATGTATTTACAGTATGTATTTATATACAATTTTGTATAACTAGGTACTACGTTTTTATGGTAAATTTTTTTTGTTCTTTTAAAGAAACAGATAAGACACTCTGTTGCACGGTTACTGGACATTTCACAGTCCATTTCTCAATCGGTTTATGATCACCTGTTGTTTTCGGCTTTCTGGTGTTTGTAGTTCGACATTAATTTTAAGTTTGAAATATTTTGTCAATGGTAAAGCGTAAATTTTATTTGTTGCGATTTTATTTGTATAAAATGTACTTACTTTAAATTATGATCTACAGCGGTAAAATTGGAAATTCAAAGCACTTTAAAAGTGGGTAAAGCATATAGTTTTTATCTGTGCGATTTCGGTTTAAAAAGCCATCTTCAGAGCTATGGTACCGTACAATAACTTAATATAAGTAATTATTTATATGTAACACTGTTTAACTTACTTCAAATTTTACAAACAGTTTTTAAAAATTACTAAAAAGACAGCACAAAAAACAATTAAAAGTTTGCTTATATTACGGGTACAAGCATTTATCCATCTCCAGAGAGCTGAGGCGACAGGTAGACTGATTATAACTGAAGTATATGCTGGCTTTTAATTGCTTTTTAAACTGACACGTGTTATGATTAGAAGATCAGAAATATTCAAAATTGTAAAAATTAAAAAAAATTTAAGTTAAAATAAAAAGTAAAATGTCACAGACTGTCTAAAGTAAATTACATCAAACTCATTTGAATGTTGAATGTTCGTACTGCATACATTTTGAAATTAATTGAGGTCAAAAAGGTCAATTAACAAGTTATCCTTAAAAATAATAAGTAAAATAATAGATTGAGGGGTGTTTTTTAAAAAGAAGAAACTTGACTAGTATTTTTATTTGGGTATTTCACCTTTTCAGGACTGAATATATTCCGAAGATATCCAAAAGTTTTGAAACAAAAAAAAATTATCAATAGTCTTATTGCCCAAACTGATCTATTTTTTATAACATCCTATAATAGAACTGTATAAGACAACTGTGTCCCAGTAGTGTTTTATATCGGTACCAATATGTCCCATAATA